TTTTTTTTCTTTTGATTTATCAACAATCACTTCCATATGCTTTTGAGTTTAAAATTTTTCTCCCCCTTCCTCCCCACCACCCTCCCCAAGATGGCACACAATCTCATATAGGCTATACATTTGCATTCCTATTAAACATATTTTCCCATTAGTGAAGTTGTAAGTGAAAATTAAAACCAATAGGAAGAACCATTCGAAAGAGGAAATAAAACTCAACAGAAGAGAAAAAAAGATAGCGATTCAACTTGCATAGCTCTTTCTTTGGATGTGGATAGCATTTTCCATCACGAGGCCTCTGGGGATGTCTTAGATCCTTGTATTGCTGAGAAGGGCTAAGTTTATCAATATTAGTCATCTCATAATATGCCTATTATTGTGTACAACATTCTCTTGGTTCTGCTCACTTCACTCAGCATCAGAACATACAAGTCTTTACAGGTTTTTCTGAAGTCAGCCTGCTCATCATTCTTACAGCACAATAGTATTCAAGGAATTATTTTCTTCACTGAGCTTTTGTACCTCCTTTTCCATTTGGACAATTCTATTTTTTAAGGAGTTCTTTTCTTCAGTGAATTTTTGTACAGCTTTTTCCCATTTTTTGTGTTTTCTTTACCAAACCGTTAACTCTTTCTTCATGATTTACTTGCATCATTTAAATTTATTTTCCCCATTTTTCTCCTGCTTCTCTTATTTGATTTTTAAAATCCTTTTTGAGCTTTTCCAGGGGTTCTTTTTTTGGCTTGATACCAATTCACATTTTTCTTTTACGCTTTGCATGTAGCTGTTTTGACATCACTGTTCTCTTTTGAGTTTGTGTTTTAATCTTCCCTGTCACCATAGTAACTCTTGATGGTCAGGTTCTTTTTTGTTTTTTTTTTTGGTTCCTCTTTCATGACTTTTCACTCATGTTAAAGTTGGGCTCTGCTACTAGCATTTAGGAGTCAGTGTCCCAAGCTTCTTGTGCCAGGGGTGTAAGGCCTTATTGCTAGACTGTCCTGCGGTTTGGAACCTCAATGCTGGTTTGTCTGGACACTGCCTGTACTGGACCGTTTTCCCCTTTTACTCCAGTGAGACCAAACTTTCCTGCTGACCTTATAACTCGTTTTGGGCTGAAAAATTGTTTCACACCATCTTCCTGTTGGTTCTGCTGCTCCAGAATTCGTTTTGAGGTATTACTTTATAGTTGTTTGAAGGTGAATTTGGGAGAGTTCAGGTGACTTTCCTGTCTTTCTATGCCCCCTTGCCTCTGTTCCCCATTGAGGAGCTTCTTAAAATGAGGCAGCCTCCTGTGCCAAACTCTTAATTCATCCTTAGTTAACTGCCTGGCTTCCAGCTCTTGTGTAATTCTATACAAAATCTGGGTTGGTTCTTGAAAGTTTCCTATGCATCCATGCTGGTCTTCTTGGGCAAATCCCATTTTCCCCTCCTTTTTTCTCACAAAGTCATTAAATATCAAAATGTATGTGGATTTAATATTGAGGATCTTATCATATTCTTCCTGTAATTTCTGTAACAGATCTTGGTGACAAGCTGCAATTGTTTCTGGGGTCTTTTTCCAAAGACAGATCACAAGCATTGAAACAAGATAACCGACCTCCCATAAAATTGTGTTTCTTATGGATTTCAGACTCAGCAAATCTGCTTCTGTCGACTCCTTTTATTTTCTTCTCTGAGGAGTCATCCCTCCATTTAGCATTAATTTCCTTTTGTCGTCTGCTCCATCTACACCTAGAACATTAGCAATGGCATGATTCACCTTCTCTGGTGACACTGACAAAGATTTCCCATTGAGAGTTCCAGCATCCAAGTTAAAGTTCATAAATGGTTTAGGTCTAAAGAAATTTGGCATTCTTAGTTCTCTCTCTCTCTCTCTCTCTCTCTCCTCTCTCTCTCTCTCTCTCTCTCTCCCTCCCTCTCTTCCTTCCTCCTTCCCTCAGTCCCTCTCTCACTCCATCCCTCCTTCCCTCCTCTCAGCTTCCATATTTCTTTAATGGAAACTATAGACAATGTGACTATATCCTTAAGAGATAAAAGAATCTTCAGGACAGCTAGGTGGCACAATAAATAGAGTTCCACACCTGGAAACTGGAAGACCTGAGTTCAAATCTGGTTTCAGACACTTACTGGCTTTGTGATCTTAGGCAAGTCACTTCACCCTGCTTGCCTCAGTTTCCTCATCTGTAAAATGAGCTGGAGAAGGAAATGGTGAATCATTCTAGTATCTCTGCTAAGAAAACTCCAAATGGGATCCTTGGACATGGCTGAAAACAACTGAACAACGAGAAGAATCTTCATTGTGAGTTAACTGTCATGGCTAAGAGGCTTTACAGAGCCTCCTTCCTAAGAAAATGAGTCCTAGGAAACATTTCTTAAGTGAACTGAGTTTAACTCATCTTGGTGAGAAGATACACCCAAGAGAATTCCTGAGAGACTTTGCCCGCCATCTTAAGAAAGCTGAATGGTGAGGCTGTTTCCCAAGTTGAAGAGGAGTCAGCAGTTGAGGTGATGGTTACATGACAACCCTGGTTGTGATTCTGTTCACTGCAAGATGCTGCTGAATGATCAACTGTTTCTGTATTGTTTGTTATACTATTGATAGACTGCATAGCCAGTAACATCAATGTTTACTTAAGCATTTGAGAGTAGGGGGTTTGCTACTGGAAGAGGGAAAGAAATAAGGAAACGAGTCTTTATAGCAAGAGAGGAGGAAGCTAGGTGGTGCAGTGGATAGAGCACTGGGCCTGGAGTCAGGAAGACTTAGCTTTGTGAGTTCAGATCTGGCCTCAAACACTGTGGGCAAGTCATTTAACCCTGTTTGTCTCAATTTCCTCATCTATCAATGAGATGGAGAAGGAAATGGCCGTGACTGAAATAACTGAAGAGGAAACAAGGAAGGAACAAGAGAGGCAGGACAAGCGCACCCAAGTAAGCTGTGGGGAGCCATCTCTAAGAACCATTTACATTTGCAGACAGGTCCATATAAACACAAATCTACAAACGTAATTACAAGAAGTCATATCATAATTATATAATATACATGTTATGATTTTATATGTGTTTATGTGTACATGTGTACATCTATAGACACACTTCAAATACTGGCTTTTTAAAACTTGAAATTAACTCATGTACTGATTGATAGAGCACCGGCCCTGGAGTCAGGAGGACCTGAGTTCAGATGTGACCTCAGACCCATAAAACTCACTAGCTGTGTGACTCTGGGCAAGTCACTTAACCCCGACTGCCTCACCAAAAAAAATAATAATAATTTTTAAAACTGTCTTTACACGTAATTGGAAAAAACCAAAATACTATTAAAAAAAAGAAAAGAAACTGATGTAAAGGGGACCTGAGAATTTGTTTACATAGTTAATTTAAAAAAATTTTAAATAAGTTTTAATTGATGTCTTTGGCTCACCATAATTTTCCCTAGTATCCTTCCCCTTCCCCAAGAGCCATCTCCTAGAACAAACAGTATTTCAAAAGAATGAGGAAAAAATCAGCACAACTGAGCAATACTTTGAAAAAGTTCTAAAATGCATGCAATGTGCACCACCTTTTATAGCTAACTTTTGAGAGAATCCAATAATTTTAATTACATTAAACTTCCTGTGGGCATGGGCAGTTTCATTTTTACTTTGGTTTATCCCAGTACCAAGGCCTCCAATCTATTAGACCCTTATGAAATTTTTGTTGAACTTAATTGAATTGAATTAATCTAGCTTCAGATTCTGGAAGAACAGGTTCAGCTAAGCCAGTGATTTATGGGCTTTGTTCAGCTCTTCCTGGATCAGGATTCCCTGCACTGGGGAGGTGGGTCCAAGGAGATGTGGGAAAGGGACAACCAAACTGACCAGCAGTGCTTGCTGCTCAACCTCAATTTTTAAGTCAGATTAAAGAAAAACCTACTTTCTCTTTTGCCCACCTCCTCACCCCACACTGAAAGATAAGAGAACAACAAAACCTTTGTAGCAAATCCATCCAGAGAAGCACACCAGGTTCCCACGCTGGCCACATCCTTTTAGCCTCCATGAGTGCGTCCCCTCTCTTGGGAAAGGGAGCATGCATCACCAGGAGTCTCCAGAACAGCAGCTGACCCTGCAGCGATGAATTCTTACACCTTTCAGAAGCGCTGACAATACTGTTGTTATCACACTAAGCGTTCTGCTCATTCTACTCACTTCATACAAATTCCCAGGTTTCTGTAACACTGCCCCTTCATCGTTGCTGGAGGCACCACAGTATCTCACTGATTTGTTCAGTCACTCCCTGTGCTCAGCCCCAATATCACTGACCAGTGGCTTTGCCCACTTCCAATAACAAAGACCGACAGTGCTAACAGGTCTCAGCATAAGCTGGCCAATAGACCAGCGTTTATTAAAGTGGATTAAGTGCTTGCTCTGTGCCAAGACTGTGCTCAGCATCGGAGACATTCCCTGCTCTCCAAGAGCTTACTTTCTAATGGGGGAGACCATTTTGGGAAGATTTCAGCTGCCGAGCAAATGGAAGTCCCATGGGCCAAAGGGAGCAAAGCAGATGGTCGTGCTTTGTCATCATGAACATCTGCAAGAAAGAGAAACAGGCACAAATTCCGAGCACGATCAATTTGCTAGCAAGACCAGCAAGCCCCTCCGCAGCCAGGGATCCTTCTGACAATCGGAGCAGCTTTTTCTACAGTTGGTCACACAATGTGGTCCAGCAAGGCAAACCAAACTAAGATAGGATTTGTCTATGAGAAAGTGAAGAGGAGGGTACACAATTTGCTTCATCATCCCGACTTGTTAGAGGGGCTCTCCAGAATCTACAGCAATGGGGGAAATGCAGAGCTGAACAACTCCCTAGAGAAAGTCCACGAGAGCCATCTCCTCCCCTCCCCCGCTTCTTCAGGCTGTAGCCCAGAGCAGCTACTAGACCTGTACAGTCAATCTCAATCTGATCCCTAAGGACAGATTCCAGGGATTAAGTACAACTCTCAATCAATAATTGATAAATGATACGAAATGACGGTGGGGTATCAATGTTTGATTTCACAGCTTCTTTCATGTCATTTCTATCCATAAAGTAATATTCATTTCTAATGCTGGATCATTTGGCAGGGCCAATGTCTTTGGGTGGCTATGGCTTTAAACTGGCTAGGACCAATACCTCTGACCAATGGCGCTGACCAGTTCCAGCAACACTGACTCACTGCACTGAGCAGTCTCAAATCACTGAATGATGGAACCGATCATTCCAAGTCACAATGACCAATGGCACTGCATAGAACACGGAAGCTGGGGCAGCTAGGTGGCCTAGTACATAGAGTCAACAAGACATGAGTTCAAATGTGACCTGTGACATTGACTAGCTGTGTGACCGTGGGCAAATCACTTAACTGCTATTTGCCTTGGCTTCCTCAGCTGTAAAATAGGGATAACAGCACCTATTTCCAAAGGTTTATTGTGACAATCAAATAAAATAATATTTTTAAGTTGCTTAGCAAAGGCTGGCAGGTAGTAGGTGCTGTGTAAATACTTAATCCCTTCTCCTTCCCCTGAGTAGTCTTAACAACAATGAGCCCTTGTTTAAGTTTGTTTTTCCCAGGACAAACCAAGACCAGTATTACTTACCAGTCCTGCCAGTATTATCCAATGTCACTGACTAACACCGCTGCTCAATGGTGCTGACCTGTCTTAGCAAACACTGACCAATGGAAGAGACCAGATCCAACCATACTGGCCAACGGCGCGGAGCAGCCCAAACCACTGGCTAGCGGATGTGACACTTCAGGGAGAGTTAGTTCAAAGTTCAAAGGCTCTCTTCCTCAGCATCTCCCCCTAACGATCACTCCACGAGAGAATTCTGCGGCTCCGATCCACTCAGGGCAGCCGTTCCCGGTGCCCCTTCTAAGGCACCGCTAGACGCCGGGCAGGGCTTGCGCGGACCCAGGGCGCTCGGGCTGGGCCAGCGCTGCTTCTTTGTAACAATGTAGCAGCGCCTACCCGCCTGAAGAAGCCTTTGGGACCCGCAGACCCGCGATGCGCGCCGGTCCCCCCGCACCGATGGGGAGCGTGCCCCGCGCCGGACACGGGGAAACCGCACGGTCACAGGCCCCGGCAGTGAGTGGCGCGCAGGCTTCCGGCCACTGGCTCGCAAGGGCCCGGACGATCTGACCCAATGGTGTGGGCCAGACCAGACGAACCGGACAACGTCCCTCGTCCAATCACAACAGACGCGTCAGGATGACACTGACCAAAACCAACAATGCTGACCAGCGGCCTCGAGCAGTCCCCGAACACTGACCATTCCAAACAGCACGGACCGGCGGCCACACAAACTGACCCGTGGAACACCGCTAAGCAATGGAACCGTCCGTCCCATCACGGCTGTTTCCCGGGTGCCTCCAACTTATGCCCTGTCTTCCCCCGTCTCGGCGCGTGGGCCGGCCCGTCCTCCCCTCTCCCCGGAGCACATGGGCGGGTCCATCCTCCCCCGCCCCTGGCGGCTCCCCTGGTGCCAAACAAAGCCCGCCCACGGTCCCCATGGAAACAACGAGGGACGCCCCGACCACGCAGACGACGAGGTCGAGACTACCGTGTGCTGCCTACCTAGGACGGGCTCCGTCGTAGTCTCAGGTCCGAGGTCCGAGGGCCGGGCCCCCAGGGACAAGGCGGGTGGGGGCCGCTCCCCCAAGGGAGCCTGCGTGAGGCTGCGAGGCCGCGAGCCACGCTCGCGGGACGGACCGTGGTGGAAGGGCTGCGGGGAGCGAGCCGCCGCCCATTGGCTGGAGAAGGTGCCATTCCTGCCATCTGGGGAGATGCCCGCCCTCGTCACCATGGAGATGGGGGGCGGTCCAGCAAGAAGAGTTCGCGGGATAGTAGAGACAGTTCCTTGGGGCGGGGAGAGACGCAATGTGAGGGCTGGCCGGGCTGCGCTGGCTCCCATTTGCTGCGGACAGTGCCAGTCCGGAAGGCGGGACGTCTCTCGTCGCCATAGGGACCGAGGGGGCGGGCTGTGGAGCCGAGCCAACCCAGAGAGTGGGGCGGCCTCTGGTCTCGCAGGCAGCAACCTCTAGTAGCCCCGTCCCTCTCCCTGCCGGAGTCCTGCCCGCTCCCTGCCGCACGGAGTTTTTATAGAGCGCCTCCTGCTGGCCAGGGGGGACCCGGCAGAGTTTGAGAGAAGGAGTTCCACGCAAAAAGCCCCTGGCTTCCAGGAGCTGCTGGTGGGTGGGTGGTGCCCGCAGCCCCGTCAGCACCATCCGTTCGTTCGTTCGTTTATTCATGTCTTCATTCATTCCTTCGTTCTTTTATTCATTGTTCATTTATTTGCTCATTCACTCGTTCATTCATTCAACCACTTGTCCATCCATTCAGTTACAAGGGCTCGCATTCATTTGTTCTTTCATCTGTTGTTCACTCTCTCAATCATTCCTCCATTTATGGAGGTATTCACATGTAAGCACATTCATCCTTCATTCTTTAATTCACCTATCCATACATTTGTTCATCCATTAGTTCTTGCAGGTATTCATTCGTTTTTTCATTCACTCATTCACCCATTCGTTCATGTGAGCATTTATGAGAGCAATCATTTCTTCGTTTGCTTATTCATTCATTCATTTATTCACCTGTTCATTCACTCTTGCAATATTCACTTATAAGGGCATTCATTCCTTCATTCTTTTATTCATTGTTCATTCTTTCATCCACTCATTTGTTCATCCATTTATTCATGCTGATACTCACTTAAAAGGGCATCCAGCCATCCATTCTTTTTTAATTTTTATTTATTTTTATTTTTTTTCCAACCATCCATTCTTGTGGGTATCTTATGGGCTAGAATTTTTTTGTGTGTGAGGCAATTGGGGTTAAGTGACTTGCGCAGCATCACACATATCTGCCCCCTAGATTTCTTTCTTAAGGACCCAAGTGATTCTGGCTCTCATTGATTGGCCAACAATAAGTCCCAAGCTCCAGATGGTCATTGTTTGGGTCCTGATGGCTCAGAATGAATGTAAATAGCAACTGTTTGAGCCAGAAACCCTGAGGGTCTTTTCCGCTCCGATTTTTTTTTAACTAGGTAAAAGAGGCCATTCTTTGCCTTATTTCTTATCTAGCCTTAATCACTGAATGGACCTCACTCGAACTGAGACCTGGGAAAGACCCTAACTTAAAAAGGCCAAGGTCTCCCACTTCATCAGGGACCATGTCCAGTCTGATCTATATCTTGCCACTGGACCCAGATGGCTTCAGAGGAGAGGTGAGGCTGGTGACTTTGCACAGCCTTCCCTCACTTTAAATCCAGTTCACTTGCCATCATCTTCTTTAAGAAAGAAGGACAAACAACAAAAACACTTATAAGAGAGCATTCCTTCTTTCCTTCCTTCTTTCCTTCATTTGTTCATCCATCCATTCAATTGTTCATTCACTGTTGTGGGCATTCACTTATAAGGGTGTTTATTCCTCCATTCTTTTATTCATTGTTCATTCATTTGCTCATTCACTTATTCATTCATCCATTCACCCATTCATTTGTTCATCCATTCATTCATTCTTGTGGGTATTCATTGTAAGAGCATTCATTCCTTTATCCTTTTATTCATTCACTCACTTATTCATGCATGCATTTATTTGTTCATCCATCCATCCATTCATTCATTACAGGTGTTCATTTATAAGAGCATGCGTTTGTTCTTTTATTCATTGCTCACTCATTAATTCATGCAGATATTCATTTATAAGAACATTCATTCCTTCATTCTTTCATTCAGTTATTCATTCATTTACCCATTCATTTGTTCATCCATTCATTCATTCTTGCAGGTATCCATTTATAAGGGCATCCATTCCTTCATTCTTTTATTGTTCATTTACTCATTCATTCATTCATCCATTCATTTGTTCATTCATTCTTGCAGCTATTCAATTATAAGGGCATTTATTCATTCATTGTTAATTCACTCATTCCTTCATCCATCCATTCATGTGGGTACTCATTTATAAGAGCATTCATTCTTTTATTTTTCATCCATTCATTTATTTGTTCATTCATTTACTTTTTCTTGCAGCCTTCCAAATATAAGAGCATTCATTCCTTCATTTTTAAAAATTCATTGTTCATTCACTTGTTTATCCATTAATTTGTTCATTCATTCATGTGGGTATTCATTTATAAAAACTCATTTCTCCATTCTTTCATTCATCTATTCATTTGTTCGTGCATTCATATAGGTATTAATTTAAAAGGGCATTCATTCATTCATTCATCTATTTGGTCATTCATCCATGCCACTCATTAATCCATTCATTTGTTCATTCATCCACCCATTCATTCATGCAGGTATTCATTTATAAGGACATTCACTGGTTCTGTCATTCATTCATTTCTGCATGCAAACCTTTATACCTTGTGCCATGCCCTGAGTCAGCTACTGGGGAGATATAAAGATACTCAATAAATATTTATTAAGTCCCTTTATTGAGTGCCAGAGAATAAAGGCCAAAGACAGTCCTTGCCCTTCAGGAGCTCTCAGTCCACTGTGGGAGACAGCAAGCAAACAATCGTGTACAAACAAGATGTAGACAGGATAAATAGCAAATAATCTACCAAAGGAAGGCACAGACATTAAGGAGGATCAGAAAAGGCTTCTGTGGAAACCAGATTTTAATTGGGGCTTACAGGAATCCAGGAGGCTGGGATGAGGAGAGGGAGCATTCCAGGTGGGGGGGGGGGTAGCCAGAGAAAAGGCACAGGACAGTAGATTCTGTGGAGGGGAGTCAAGTGTAAGAAGAATGGAAAGGTGGAGGGGGGCAGGTTATGAAAGGCTTTGAAAACCAAACAGCTTTTTGTATTTGATCCTGGGTGCAACAGGGAACTCCTGGAGTTTATTGAATAGGATGTGACATGGTCAGACCTACATTTTAGAAAAATCCCCTTGATGACTGAATGGAGGATGGACTGGAGTAGGGAGAGACTTGAGGCAAACCCCCTAGCAACTATTGCCATAGTCCAGGTGTGAGGAGATAAGGGTCTGCACCAGGGTGGGGGCAGCATTAGAGAGAAGAAGGGGGGCATACTGGCCAGCTGCTGTAGAAGTGAAGTCAACAAGAGAGAGGCTACAGAGGTGAAATTGACCAGAGGTGGTACAGAGGTGAAATTGACAGGCTTTGGCCACAGCTTGGAGATGGGGAGAATGGTGAGAGAGGGTGAGGAGTCCTGGATGGTGGTACCTTCTACAGTAATAGGGAAGGGAAGAGGGGGGAGCGGCTTTGGGTTTAGTTCAGTTTTGGACATGTTGAGTTTGGGATCCATATGGGATATCATCTAGCTGGCAAAATCCCTGCCCTCATGTGGCTTACTTTAGGAGGACAGGGCTAGAGGATACAAACTCATTTCCAGAATTATATGCAAAGTAGACAAAAAGTCAGTACAATGTGATTGTGGGGTTGGAGGTTTGAGTCAGAGACTCAAAACTAGGAGCTTCTTCCTCAGTGCAGGAATGAATCCATGGCCAAATTTTGTGGTTTCTCCCTTCATAATGTCTCTCCTACATGCCCTCTTTTCTTCTTTGACACTGCCCCCACCCTGGTGAAGGCCCTCATTCCCTCTCTCCTGGACTATTGCAATACCCTGATTGGGGATGGGGGCTACCTGCCTCATCTCATCTGCCAGTCCATCCTCCAATCAGCCACTAAAATGATTTTCCAAAATTATAAGTCCCATCAATGTCAGCCCTTTACCCCTACAATAAGTAAATCCCAGTGGTTCCCCATCACCTCCAGGGTCAAAAACAAAATCCTGTTTGGCATTCGAAGCCCTTTATTACCTAACCACACCCACTGCCCCCCCACCCCACCTTTCCTTACTGGTCTCCTAGCCTTTGTCTTGGCTGACCCCTACCTACAATGCTTAGTTCCAATGCCAGCAGCTATTGCTCCCCCTCCCCCAACTCGCTGTGATTCCTTTACGCTTGTACATGTACAGGTTTTATGATTCCTTCTTTAGTGTAGTGCTTAATGAGTGGTTGTTGACTGAGTAAGTGATGTACTTAGACACACACTCTGGAAAAATCACTTGGGCAACCATCCCCACACAGTCCTAGATTCAGAACTGAAAAGGGCCTTAGAGGCCATCAGCTGAGGAGTCTGAAGCCCTCCTTGCCCAGACTCACAGGACACCCTTCTTAAGGAGGCTAGTGGTGAGAGGGAGGACCGATGTAGCTGGGAACAGGTGAGTAGGAGACACGGAATGACCATGGGCAGTAGGGAAGGAGTCTCTGCTAAGGAGATGGGAAGGGGAGAGAGCCAAAGGCAAATGTAGAGAGGTTTGGCTTAGAGTGAAGGAAGGAGGAGATAGAAAGGAAAGAAACAAGCATTTATGCTATTATGCCCATTTTATAGATGAGGAAATTGGGGCAGACAAATTGAGTTAGGCTTAGAAAACTAGTAAATGCCCGACTCCTAGCCCATCTCTCTATCTAGCTGCCTCTCAATGGTTTTTTTCAGGAAAGTATGACTGGAGGGTTTCAGCTCTGTGGGCAGGGGGAGGGAGTAACATGGGGAAAGAGGAGAAGGTTTTGGAACTTCCTCTAGCCTCCTTCAGTAGCGATGAAGCAAAGGAGGCAGATAGTGGGAGCAGTCCAGGGTTGGGATTTGACAATAGGGCCAAGGCAAAGAGGAGAATGCAGAGTTGGCCTGATTCACCAAGGGCAGAAAATGGGGCCAGAGCAGGGGGAGTCGAAGTCAAGGTGAGGATGAAGAACAGGGTTAGGGAGAGTAAGACACATCCCTGGGGCTGAAGGAAGGCATTTCTGGGGTCTGTGTCATGGAGGGCAAGCCCTTGAGAATGATGATGTGATCAGGGGGATTTTAGCAGGGATTTGAAGGGAGCCAGGGGAGTATCCCAGGTGTGGGGCACAGCCAGAGAAAGTGCCCGGAGGAACAGCCAGGAGGTGTGTATGTGTGTGTGTGTGTGTGTGTGTGTGTGTGTGTGTGTGTGTGTGTGTGTGTGTGTAGGTGGAGTGAAGGTCAAGGGCATGGGAGATTGAGGAGGTGGAGAAACTGGAAGTTCCTGTTTGTTTTTTGTCTTCACCCCTCCAGCATTGGCGCAATGCCTTAGCAAATAGTCATCATATAATAAATGCTCGTTAATTGATTGGTTTTCCTTAGCCGTCTGCCTCTTTTCCACACCAGAATACAGGCTCTTGGAAGGCAGGACCTGTTTTCATTTTTGTTTTTGTAACCCCACCCATGCTTCACATCCCAGGTGCTTAATGAATGATTCTGGAGAGAAGAAGGCTGGGTGTAGAGAGCTGTCTGCACAGGGGTGATGACAGCCCATGGGGTGGATGAGAATGCAGACATCCGGAGGGAAATTTCTGTCTGAGGAACATGGTTCATCTCAGGATGGACAAAGGTTTCATTCTTCCTCTCAGGACAGACTTGTATCCTTCAAGCAGAGGGAACCTCAGGATGGGCCCTGGCCCTCAGACAGGAAAACTGAGTCTAAGGAGAAATGCACTGTTTCTCTGCCCCCTTACCTCAGGGGCGGCATCACGTGTATTCTCTGTCCCCGTGAACTTTTCTGGGACCCTCCTGGCATTGCTGACAGTTGTCAGGAGGATGGGGGGATGGTGCTGGAAAGCAGATGCTTTGAGAGGCTGCTTGCTTTCCCCTGGTTTCTCCTCTCTCAGAGATGATGGTCAGTGTGTTGGGTTCGGGGGGGGCATTTTCACCATGTACCGGCCTGCCCTTGCCCCATCTGTGCTGACTGGCTATGGAGTGTGATGGCTAAGAGTGGTTTTCATGAAACTACTCCACCTCTGGGCTCTGGCAAAGAACTGTGGCCAGCTCTTGTGGTTAGGGTCCATAATGACAAGAATCAGCTCTCAATGAAAGCTTTTCTCATTGGTCAGGTCAGAATTCTTGGGGTCTCAGAATGTGAAGACTCGGAAAGTGTTAGGAATCCCTCAGGTAAGGAATTCACCTCATTATTCTTTTTTTAAAAATGTTTTTCTTTTTATTTTCTGACAAAACCATTATTTTTCAATATGAGTCCCTTCCTCCCCCTCTCCCACCATGAAATGGAGCTGCTGTCGCCATGTGTGAGGGCTGGGCTTCCCTCTGGAGTCTAGAGGGGTCCCTCCAAGTACAGAAGAGGAGGTGATGAGTTCATGGAATTGCCTTCCCCAGGTGTGCTGGTGAGGGGTTAACAACTGACTCTCTGAGGGAAAATGTAGGCAAGGCACACTTTTTTAAGTTTAATCGACCCCATTAGCCTTGTTTCCATCACTTTTTAAAGTCTAGGCAATCAACAAAACAAGAAATCAAGCCCTGACTGGTAGGTGTGGGATTTGAGAGGTGTGAACACACTCACCCTGACAATTTAACCACCAGGCTCTCCTCAAGTCAGGGATGACACCTGTATCAGCTGAGAACAATTAACCTCAACTAATCAAAGTCTTCAGACTAAGGTGAAAAGTCTTCAAAGGCAGTAGCTAGAGTAAACCCGGGAAGCAGGCCTGCTGGTTATCTAAACTAGGGAGCTCCCTCAGCAGCAAGGAGAGGTTGGAACAGGTGAGAAGCCAGGAAAGAGCGGGACAGAGAGACAGACAGAGACAGAGAGGAGATAGAGAAAGACAGAGAGGAGAGACAGAGAGAAGAGAAGAGACAGAAAGAGAGACACAGAGAGAGACAAAGAGACAGACAGAGAGGAGATAGAGACAGTGGTAGAGAGAGACAGAGAGGAGACAGAGAGACAGAGACAGGACCGGGAAGAGACAGAGGGAGAGAGAGACAGAGACAGGAGGGGGAAGAGACAGAGGGAGAGAGAGACAGGAGACAGAGATGAAGAGACAGAGGGGAGACAGAAGATAGAGACAGTGGTAGAGAGAGACAGAGAGGGAGACAGAGAAGAGACAGAGACAGGAGGGGGAAGAGACAGGGGAGAGAGACAGAGGGAGACAGAGACAGGAGGGGGAGAAAGAGAGAGGAGAGACAGAAAAGAGAGAGGGAGACAGAGAGGAGACAGAAAGAGACAAAGATATAGAGAGAGACAGAGAGGAGACAGAAAAGAGACAGAGAGGAGACAGAAAGAGACAAAGATATAGAGAGAGACAGAGAGGAGACAGAAAAGAGACAGAGACAAGAAGGGGGAGATACAGAAAGGAGAGACAGAGAGAGGGAGACAGAGACAGGAGAGGGAGAGACAGAGAGAGAGAGCAGGGCTATCTAAGAGCCCGAGGAGGTGTCTCCTGGGCAGGGGATGTAGGCTTTTCCTTTAGGCTCCTGGACAGGTGACCCGGTGTCTGGGCAGGTGACAGACGGCACCTCCACGTGCTCAGCATAGCAACCCCCAGGAAGGGTCTCCAAGTTGGACGCTGTGTCCTGGTGGGAGTGCGCCATGGACTTCCAGGGGAAGTGTTCTAGACCAGCTATTTGACCAAAGCAAATGTGGACGGCTCACCCTGGGGGAGAACCCTGCTGGGAAGATGGAGGCGGCACCGGCTGGGGACCCTAGCTGCCCGTGCAGCGGGGCTGACGCGCACTCAGGGCGTCTTGTCCTCTCGTTTTCCATTCAGGTTGTCGCAGTCAGGGTGGATGCTGCTCTCCTGGGTTTCTGGCTGCTTCACTATCAGGTCTTACAGACCTCTCTCTGAGTTCCTCAAATTCATGCTTTCTTATGGCCCAATAATGGCAGGCAACAAGCATTTATTAAGTGCTTACTGTATGCCAGGCACTGCTAAGTGCTAGGAATACAAAGGCAGAAAGAAAGGCAACCCCTGGCCTCTGAGAGCTTTCATTCTACTGGGGACAGGCAGCCAGACCAGAATGAACTTTGGCCCTCCTGGGTCCCTCTCCAAAAGGGAGACCTCAGGAGAGACTTGCCCATGGGGGATGCTTGAGGTGGGCACAGGCTGAGGCCTGAAGCCCAGCCCTGGATGCAGGAGGAAGGTGGATTTCTCCCTGTACTGGCACACACAGTTGGTTCAGCTGCCCACTGCAGAGGGTGATGCTGTGACAGTGTTGGTCATGATGGCAGACCAGGTGCAGGGCACAGTCAGCCACACTCTGGTGGTACCATGGTGGGGTACCTTTCCATCTGCACTGTTGCCACACCACAGCGCCATTCCCTTCTCACCTCTTGCTGACCATTGCTATAGGAAAGGGGAAGGCGACCGACTGTCTGATGGGGCTACCCCTAATCCCTGTGAATGTTCCTATGTATCTCCTCCCCATTAGAATGCAGGTTCCTTGGGGGTAGGGCCACCCAACATCTGTATTTGTATTTCCAGGGCCTGGCACACAGTAGGTGCTTCAGAAATGCTTATTGAACACCTGTAGGGTCTGTGCGCAGTAATGAGATCCAAGGGTAGGGACAACTCACATTTCTGGCAGGTTCCAGATTGTTTTTCTGGATAGTTGAACTGATCCAAAGCTCCACCAAGAGTGTATTATCGTATTGCCTTCCCACTCTGACAGGGACTTTTCCCAACATTTACCATAATCTTTGCCAGTTTTCTGGGTATGAGGTCAGATCTCAGAATTGCTTCGATTCACCTTTCTAAAATTATTGTTCGTGTTAGGGGATATTTCCCCAGATAGCTGCCGAGAATTTCCTTTTCTTTCCCCCCAACTATTTGTTCCTATTCTTTGGCCCCTTCTCTGTTGGGAATGATGGGTCTCCACCTAATTTATTGATTTGTGTCAATTCTCGGCACAAGAATGATTGATGGAAAGAAAGCCTTCTTGTCCCTTGAGGGCTGCACGATGTCTGCAGATGTCTCCTTCGTGTTTGGGACCCCCAGCTCCAGATCTTAAACCAACTTTCTTCTTTTTTCCTCTAATTTTTTGAAGACACGGCCCCTTTCTTACATGACAGTCACTTGTATGCGTGTCCCCTACCCCATCATGGTGCCTTTTGTGAGCAGGTAGTCTCATAGGTTCCCCTGATCTCCCTTTTGGACCATGATTTCAGCTTTCTTTTATTCTGTAGTTTGGGATCTGGCTGTGTGGGGCTCCCTGCATTCCTACTGGTTTTTCTTTTTCATGGTTTCCATAGAAGTTTTTTACCTCTCCTTCCTCCCAGTGAAGGTCGTTATTTTTTCAAGCGGTCCTTGGGTTGTTTGGTTGCTATAGCACTCAATCCATGGGTGAATTTTGGTAGTGTTATCATACTTACCACATGGGCCTGGCCCCACCATGAACACAAATGGAAAGCTTTCTTTTATTTCTGTAGACTGTTTTGTAGTTGTATTTATGTGAATCCTGAGTGTGCACAGCTCTGGTAATCGACGCCTTTCCATTAATTTGAGCAATTAGAATCCTTAAGCCTGTCCCAGTGTATCCCTTGATGGGGACTGCCCCAGCCTGGGAGCAGTGACATTCCAGAAGAGCCGTGCCCCCTTCCATCTCCAGTGCATAGCGCTCTAAAGCCCTGGCCTGGGAAGCATCCACAGAGCACTGACTTCAAACAGCATCTACAGCAGGTGCCCCAGAATGGCCCACAGACAGCATCCCCCTCTGGACTTAAAAACCCCCTTATCACCTTTGACCCGGCAATAGCATTTCTAGGGCTATATCCCAGAGAAATCATACAAATGGGAAAAGGACCCACATGTACAAACATATAGCAGCTCTTTTTGTGGTGGCAAAAAATTGGAAATTGAGAGGATGCCCATCAATCGGGGAATGGATGAACAAGTTGTGGTATATGAATGTAATGGAATACTATTTTGCTATAAGAAATAATGAGCAGCCAGACTTCAGAAAAACCTGGAAAGACTTACATGAATGGATGCTGAGTGAAGTGAGCAGACCCAAGAGAACATTGTACACAATAACAGCCACGTTGTGTGATGACTAATATTGATAAACCTAACCCTTCCCAGATATACAAGGATCTAAGATGTCTCCAAAAGCCTTGTGATGGAAAATGCTATCCACATCCAAAGAAAGAACAATGGAATTTGAATGCAGATCAAAGCATACTATTTGCTATTTTTTTCCTTCTGTTATATTTTATCTCCTCTTTCTGATGGTTCCTCTTACTGGTTCTAATTCTTACTTACCACATCACTAATGTGAAAATATGTTTAATAGGAATATAGAAGTATAGCCTACATCAGATTGCGGGCCATTTTGGGGAGGGAGGTGGGGAGGGAGGGGGAGAAAAATTTAAAACTCAAAAGCTTATGGAAGTGATTGTTGATCATTCAAAATAAATTAATGTGAGTAGATTGATAAAACAAACAAAAAAGAGATATCTGCTCTGCTTCTCCTCTGTTTTATACCATGATCATATTAACTTCAAATAGCCATTTATTATGCATTGTAGAATGTCAGTCAATAAACATTTATTAAGGACCTAAAAAAAAAAACCCAACCCTTCTCAGCAGGCTATAAATGGTCCATGGTGAATTAGGGGGTGGAAGCAGTACAAGGCAGTGGGAGGAAGGGAAGGGGTAACCATTTATTAAGCACCTGCTGTGTTCCAGGCACTGTGTTAAGCATTTTATGAGAATTATCTCATATGATCTGCACAACAGCCTTGGGAGGCGAATGCTACTATGAGCCCCATTTTACAGAGGAAGGTGAAGTGACTTGCCCAGGTCACACAGCTAGGAAGTGTCTGAGGCTGGATTTGAACTTGGGTCTTCCTGACTCCAGGCCCGGTGCTCTGGGCCAGTCGCAGTCCCATCTGTTCCTCAGTTTCTTCAGTGTGGATGAGAGTTCTGATTCTCTGTCTGCTGACATATCTTCCTTTCTAGAGTCGCAGCTGTTTGTGACCACAATGAATCAGGATGTAAGGCATGCTGATTCCCCTGCACGGAGAAGCTCCAAGGAATGTGCAAATGCCCCGAAGGTGTCTTTTGTGGAGGTAGGAAGGATGCAGGACCTGTCTGGGCTATATGTGGACAAATTTGAGGTGAATTTGGTTAGACAACACCCCACAGATGGTAGGCATGGGAGGAGGCCCAGAAATGAGACAAAGAACTGACCCTGGGGGTGAGGTGGTGAGATGCCACCTCTCCCACCCGCCCGGTTCCTCTCGAGGGCCAGGGCTCCCATATCTCCTGAGCTTGAAGTGCAGCCTCACTAATGACCCACTAGACATCTCCAAGTGGAAAGCAGCCCCGGAAGAGCCCTCTGCAGTCACCTGGTCCTACCCGCATGTCTCCATGGCCACCAGGTCTTTCCTGTTCCGTTCTGGCTGAGTTCTCACACCCCAAGGCCCCTCACTAGGCTCTGGGGCTCCTGTCCCCACTGTGTCTCTTCTTCTCCAGACACTTCCCTCCTGCCCGGTCACCCTCCTCTGGACGCTCTCCGGCCTTCCTAAGGGAGGTGCCCAGAACTGGCCAGAGGACTCAGGTGAGGCCTGAGTAGGGCAGAGAGTGAAGGGACAGTCACTGCTCTATTCCCAAATGCTAGGACTTTCCCAACATGACCCAGGGTTGTGAAAGGTTTTGGTTGGATGGTTTGGAGGTGGGGTTTCATTTGCAGTCCAATGAAACCTTCCCATCTGCTGTGTGATGGTGCCTCCCTCCTTGACCTGCAGGCCATCAGGCCTGACCCTCCATCCTCCTCGGGGTCAGGACCCCTCCCAGTTCAGGGCCTCCTTGCTTCCCCGATGGGAGTCTGAGGACCTGGTTCCAGTGGCCTCTTCCTCCTCTTCATGATTTTGGCCTCTGTGGGCCCCAGCTCCCTCTGTCCCACTGCAGACCCCACTTGGCCTGTGCTGACATTGAAGAATTAATGACTACTCTTTGAGCCCAGCCATTTGCTAAGCCCTGAGTTGATTTAGTAGCATCACTTCGTCCTGCTTGTGGGTGTGAGGTTTGTGTCCCTGGGTCCTTCCATGGATTCTGTCTCCTGTGAATTTCTGTGTGTCCTGCATCCCAACCTCGGAGACATTTTACAGAGAAGAAAACTGAGGCCCAGGGAGTTAAGGGATCTGCCCAAGGCCCTACAGCCAGAATTTGATTCCATGTTCAGTGGCATTCCATGGCCCTAGGCTGCCCCTCCCCCCAATACATGATGGATTTGCACAAAACTTCTCAAGAAGGTGTCTGTGTCACTTCTGTTTTAGACCTTAGTGAAGGATGATATTGATGCTGCTGTCGAGGGCATGCTGTGCAAAGAAAACTACATCATAAAGGTGAGTAACAACACGGTGGCCAGCCTGGGAATGGGTCCCCCGCTGTTGTTGGCTTGTCCACACCCACAAGTGCTCTGGAACTGTCCTATGATTGTACATTGTTAAGCATGTGGTTTGGAGACAGGAAGGCATCCTGGCTGGGTTCCCCTGGACAAGGCTCATAATTTCTTTGCCTTCTGGGCAGCTCACCAAGACTCCGAGTTTCAAAGGAAGCCTTTACCTTTGGCCAGCTATGTGCCCTTGGACATAGCCTAACATTTTCTCTCCTTTAAAGTATTTGTAGTTGAGTGTTGTGAGATCTTGACTGTGGTTCCTTGGTACTTACGTTCTCTTTTTTCCTGGCTGCTTGAAGTATTTTTTTGACTTGTAAGTAAGTGCTGGATTTCATCTACATTTCCCGGGGTTTTCAGTTTGGCTTTCTTCCAGGAGGTGATTGATGGATTCCTTCTGTTTTCATCTTGTCCTCTTGTTCTGGTAGATCTGGGCATTTTCCTTTGATGACTGCAGGTTTTTTGTTTGGTCATAGCTTTTGGAGAATTCCTTGATTCTGAATTTACCTTCCCTGTGGCTATTTCCCAGGTCTGCTGTTTCTGATGCTACATACACCTCAAACTTCTGTTATTTCAATCTTTTGATTTTGTTCATTATTTCTTTTTGCCTTTGGAGTTATGGAAGACTCCCTGTTCTGTCCTACTTTTCAGGGAGTTCGTTCCTGGGGAAGGTTTTCTACTTTCCAAGTAGCTCCTCACCAGTCCAACACTATAGTCTTACTATTGCACTGCTATACCCTCCTCAACCCTTCCTGCCCGCACCAAATACAAGTAAAACTTATTCTCCTTTGAGTATAATTTTAATCATCCCCACATAAACTTCCATACAAACTAAATTTGCTTTAAGTGATTTTTCTTTCCCTATTCTTTTAACCTTTGCTTGCATTGTACAGGTAACAATTAAGTTTAAGAATCACCTTTGGAGGGGAATTGGTGCCAAAATGACATAGTAAAGGCAGGGACTCACCCAAGGTCTCCCAGATTCCCCTCCAAACAACATCTTAAATTGAATTATGGAGTACAGAACCAATAAAAAGTCAAGGGGAAATACTTTTCCAGCCCTAGACAACTTAGACGGTCAGCAGGAAAGGTCTGACTCACCGGGGTGAGAGTAGAACACGGTCCAGCACAGGCAGTGACCCAGAAAGCCGGTAGCAGGACTTGGGGGCATGTAACTGTCAGTCCACAGATGGCAAGGGGTTCAGCCAGCTGGTCACAGGGAGATTGCAGGGGGCCCTTTGCTGGCACTAGGTGCCAGACTCTATTGCATTGCCCATGTGTGGTTCCAGGTCAGCGTCCTAGGGTAAGGAAGAGTACTTGCAGGAGTGAGGGCCGTGGTCACAGGTCCAGAACAGAAAAGAGTACTTGTGGTCATTCACAGATCAGCGCATGGGCCAGGAGAGCAGTGACCACACCTTTCCTTAGATTAGACTGCCTTAGAAGAACTGAAAACTTAAAGATCTCCAGAACTAGTTCTAAAAACAGCAGTATGAAAAACTTGAAACTTGGGATAGTAGCCCCCCAAGAGCAGAGCCCAAGTTTTAAAAATTAAGAAATAGGCTGGAAAAAGGAGTAAACGACAACAGTGAAAAGAATCTGAACATAGAAAGTTACTCTGGTGACAGGGAAGATCAAGACACAAACTCAGAAGGCAATGAAATAAAAACAGCTATGTACAGTGCCTCAAAGGAAAATGTGAATTGGACACAAGCCCAAAAAGAATTCCAGGAAGAGATCAAAAAAGATTTTTAAAATAAAATAAAAGAGGTAGAGGAAAACTTGGGGAAAGAAAGGAGAGTGATGCAAGAAATTTGTGAAAAGAGAGTCAACAGCTTGGTAAAAGAGGTATAAAACATACTGAAGGAAAAACATCTTAAAAAGCAGAATTGGCCAAATGGAAAAAGAGGTACAAAAGCTCACTGAAGAAAACAATTCCTCAAAAACTAGAATTGGGCAAGTGGGAGCCAATGAATTTATGAGACATCAAGAAACAATAAAAATCAAAAGAATGAAAAATAGAAGGAAATGTGAAATATCTCACTGGAAAAACAACTGACCTGGAAAATACATCAAAGAGAAATAAAAAATTATTGAATTACCTGGAAGTCATGATTTAAAAAAAAAAGGAGCTTAGACATCATATTTCAAGAAATTGTCAAGGAAAACTGCCCTGGTATCCTAGAACTAAAGGGTAAAGTAGAAATTGAAAGCAAGAGGTCTCAAAATGAAAACTCCCAGGAATATTTATAGCTAAATTCCAGAGCTCCAGGGTTAAGGAAAAAAATGTAGTAAGCAGCCAGAAAGAAACAATTAAAATATTGTGGAACCACAGCCAGGATCACACAAGATTTAGCAGCTTCTACATTAAAGGATTGGAGAACTTGGAATGTGATATTCCAAAGGACAAAGGAGTTAGTAATACAACTAAGAATCACCTACCCAGGAAAACTGAATATAATCCTTCAGGAGGAAAATTGGATATTTAATGAATCAGAAGACTTTCAGGCATTCCTGGTGAAAAGACCAGAGCTGAATAGAAAATTTTACTTTCAAATACAAGACTCAAGAGAAAGTAATCATAAGGAATTCTAAAAGGTTAAACTCAACATTCCTATATGAGATGATGATACGTGTAACTTCTAATAACTTTGTCATTTTTAGGGCAGCTAGAAAGAGTATACAGAGGGCATGGGTGTAGTTGACTATGGTGAGATGATTTAAAAAAAATAAAAATTAAGGGGTGAGAAAGTGGAATGTATGGAGAAAAGGGGATTAAGAAAGACTGAATGGGGAAAATTATGTCACATAAAAGAAGTGTGCAAGGAAGAACTTTTACAATAGAGGGGGAAATGGAGGTGGTGGTGGGCAATGCTGGAACCTCACTCATTGGAATTGGTTGAAAAAGCGAAGAACATATGTGCACACTCAGTTGTGTATAAAAATCTCTCTTACTCAATAGGGAAATAGGAAGAGAAAGGGATAAGATAAAGGGAGGGGGTAATAAGAGGGAGGGCAGATAAAGGAAGGCAGTGGTCAGAAGCAAAACAGACTTTTGAGGAGGGACAGAGTAAATAAAAAGAAAGATGATTAAACAGGGGCAAAATAGAACAGAAGGAAATACACAGTAATCATAACTGTGAATATGAATGGGATGAACTCACCCATAGAATGGAAGATAGCAGAATGCATTAGAAACCAGAATCCAAGAATATGTTGTTTACAAGAAACATGCTTGAAACAGAGAGAGACACACAGAATAAAAATAAAGGGCTGGAGCACAATTTTTATGTTTTAGCAGGAGTAAAAAAAAAAAGCAGGTGGTAGCATCAGGATCTCAGACAAAACAAAAGCAAAAATAGATCTAATTGAAAGAAATAAGCAGGGAAACTATATTATGCTAAAAGGTAACATAGACAATGAAGTAGAATCAGTACTAAACATACATGCACCGAATGGCAGAGTATCCAAATTCTTAAAAGAAAAGTTAAATGAATTGGAGGAGGAAACAGACAATAAATCTATTTTAGTGGGAGCTCTCATTTTTTCCCTCTCAGAACTTGATAAATCTAAACAATAAAAATAAACAAGAAAGAAGTTAAGGAGATGAATACAATTTTAGAAAAGTTAGATACAGACCCTAGAGAAAATTGAATGATAATAGAAAGGAGTATGGGACAGCTAGATGGCCCAGTGGATAAAGTGCTTAGCCTGGAGTCAGAAAGATCTGAGTTCAAATCCAGCCTCAGACACTTACTAGCTGTGTGACTCTGGGCAAGTCATGTAACCTCTGTTTGCCTTATTCCACTGAAGAAGGGAATCACAAACCTCTTCAGTATCTTTGCCAAGAAAATCCCTTAGACAGTATGGTCCAGGGGGTTACAAAGAGGACATAATTGAACAACAAAAAAAAAAAGGTGTATATCTTTTTCTCAGCTGTACATGGCACCTTCACAAAAATCGACCATGTATTAGGGCATAAAAACCTCACAACCAATGCAGAAAAATCCATCCTTTTCAGATCATAATACAATAAAATTGCATTCAATAAAAGGTCATGGAAAGATAAATTAAAAATTAATTGGAAACTAAATAATCTAATACTAAAGAATGAATGGGTCAAAGAACAAATCATAGAAATAATAATTTCATTAAAGAGAGTAACAACAATGAGACAACATATCAAATTTATGGGATTGCAACTAAGGCAGTACTTAGGAAAAATCTATATCTTTACATGCTTGCATCAATAAAATAGAGAAAGAGCAGATCAATAAACTGAGCATACAACTAAAAAAAACTAGTAAAAGAACAAATTAAAAATCTCCAATTAAATACCAAATTGGAAATCCTGAAAATCAAAGGAGAGATTAGTAAAATTGAAAGTGAGAAAACTATGGACTAATAAATAAAACTAGGAGCTGGTTTTAGAAAAAAACAATAAGATAAACCATTGGTTAATGTGACTTAAAAAAAAAAAGGAAAGAAACCAAATCACTAGTATCAAAAATGAAAAGGGTGAATTTACCACTAATGAAGATGAAATTAGAGCAATTATGAGGATCTATTTTGCCCAATTATATTCCAATAAATCTAACAATCTAAGTGAAATGGATGAATACTTAAAAAATATAAATCTGCTAGATTAACAGAAGAGATAGAATACTTAAATAACCCTATCTTAGAAAAATAAATTGAACAGGCCATAAATGAATCCTCTAAGAAAAAATCCCCAGGGCCAGATAGATTCACAAATTAATTCTATCAAACATTTAAAGGACAATTAATTTCAATATTATATAAACTATTTGGAAAAACAGTCAAAGAAGGAGTCCTACCAAATTCCTTTTATGACACAAATATGGTGCTTATACCTAAGTCAAAAAGAGCAAATACTGAGGAAGAAAAATATAGACCAATTTCCCTAATGAATGTCTCCGTAATTAAAAAAAA